AGTTTGCTCAACTTAACTTTGTCGTTCAGAATTGTGTAGGCTGAGCCAGTTTTGATGAATGAGTTCTCTTCAATAAGGGCATGAACAGAATTGTTTGATCACAAATTGATGTGGATGGCCTGCCACTGTGGACTTCATCTTCAGCATTATCTCGTCTCTTGTTAAAATGACTTAGCTGTTTATAAACTGCTCATTTCTTTGGAGTGTTGTCGCCAAAAATTTTTGTAATGCATGAGTAATTTTACCATTCTTCCACCCAAGCGTCACCATAAATTTGATGTTTGTTGTTGCTTCGGTTTTAGCAGAATTCATGTTGTTCTGTTAGGGAGCCTTCAAACCAACTTCAAACCGATGTCTTAGCCTTTTTAGTGCCTCAAACTAGATCTTGTTCAAATACATTGCTTATTTTGGTGAGAAAAAGAATTGAAGTGCTTACAGAGCTTTTTCGTAATGCACATTTGTCATGAATTGGTTTTGTTTCCTCCATGAACTTTAAAGAAACCCCTCATATTTCATCATTTTAAGGGCTACTGTAAATGATAGTGTCTTTCATGGCTTCCTTGTTAGTGTCAAGGAACGCAACTATTTTTGTGTGGCTAGTTTTTAAATTGTAAGATAAATGTCTATGCTGAGCTCACTGTTTAAACTTGAAGTATATTTTTATATATGAAACACACATCTTAAAGGCTCAGATGAGTTTTGACAGTGAGACATATTCACATATCCACAGTCCTGAACAACAGATAGGATGCCTTTATCATCTCAGAAAGTTTCCTTCCCTTTTCTTTAGCTCAAACCCCCTTCCGACCCACACTCTGATTTCGATGACTTTTGATTAATTTGTTTTCAGATATCATTAGTGGCATCATACTGTTTGACTACCACTTTTTTGTCAGTTTGTTGTACTCTGGTGGCTTGTGTGTTGTTGTGATCCTGGTGATTCAAAAGTAGCAGGTCACTCAATGGGAACACATTTCACCAGAGCTTCCAGGTGCAGAATGGACTATGACGAAGGAATATTCTGTTCATTTCGGGGGAATTAGCCACAGAAAACCTTTTGGATAACATTGAAACATTATCAGAGGTCGTGCCAGAAGATGAACCCCTTGGGTAAGAAGGCACGCAACATGTGACTGAAGGCGAGCGGCCTTCTCACAGTCGCGTTGCCCATAGTGGCATCCTATAGGAGTTACACCTGTAGGAGTGAGGCCTTCAGGGCCATTGCAGACGGAGGCCATCCGAAATGAAAAGGAATACCCAAAAGTTGGCATGTCCCGGTGTGGCTGAGCTGAAATGGTCTGATAGTGACCACTTCGAATCATAAAATCATATGATTTACTATGCTAGGAACGATAGATCCAAGAGGGAAGGGGTCACAGTCAACCTCAAAAAGGACATTTCAAGACCTTTGTTGTAGTACAGTGCTGTCTTTGATAGGGTGGTAGGGGAAGGACATTATGCTTTATGAAGTAAAGGCAGCAGGACAGAGGAAGACCATCAGGGAGCTGATTGATGCAGTGGCTCCAACATTGGGCTCCAACATAGGAGCAGTGGTGAGAACGGCTCGGACCCTGGCACCTATCAGAAACAGCACTGTTTGAATGCCTTTTCTGTCCGGCTTCTTTCTTTCAGTGTGATGACTTGAGAGTCCTTCACGTGTACTGGGTGTATTTGTCCACGGTATTGCTCAGTGGTCTTTCATTGTGTCGGTGTGTCAAAATTCATCCCCTCGCCTGCTGCTCAAGATAAGATTTTGTTAGATTTCTCACGTGGGAGAAGCCTGGTTTGTGATCCAAGTGAGTTTTTATAAAGGATAGAAGTTTCAGGTTTTACAGATAACTGAACACAGAACTGTACTCCCACACACGTAGCAGCTAGTTAACTGAACACAGAACTGTACTCCCACACACGTAGCAGCTTGAGGCGTGGTGGGGTGTGTGTGTGTGAGACACACGCATGCACGCACGCCTGTACGAAAAGAGGGTGGCGGTCTCCAGGTTCCAGCCTTTTGGGGCCTGTAGCTGGGAGGCATGTTCAATGGTTGACCCCATTGGCTGAATTAAGTCCACCTGGCCTAGATTTGGCCAGTCCAGGTGTACCGCCCACCTAGGTGTACCGCGCCCCCCCGCCCCCCGTTTGGAGCCTGAATTGGTACATGCCTTTTAGCTCTTACCGTCTTCTGACTTCCTGTAGGGAGCCCCTAGGTGTGGGGAGGAACCACCCCATCTCTTAGTACCTAACAATTTCTTCCCCTTTTTAACCTCTATGATTCGATTCTGAAAAACCTTTTTTGCAAATCCTGTCAAGAACATATGAGGCAACTTCAAAATGTTTTGGGGAATATTCCATTTTTGAAGTCCCCTCGTATGCCTTTAATTTTATAGGGAAAATATCTAACAGTGGCATTGTTGGATCATGTAGAAGGCAACTGTAAGAAACCATTGAGCAATTGTCCAATATCATTTTACGGTTTGCCCTCCCAGGGCAGGGTTTTAGCCTTTTACTTACACATTTCCATCAATATTTGCATTTTCCATCTTTTATTATGCCTGCTATCTATTCTAGTAAAGCTTTGAGCTATAACTTACATATACTAAAAATCACGTTTTTTAGAATGTGTCATTTTATGACTGGACAAATGTATACAGGTGTGAGGCCATTACCACACTCAAGCCATAGCTAGGCTTCTTTCACCTTTATGTTCTCTGACAGCTACTTAATTGCCTACTTTCACTATATATTAGATTTATCTTTCATGGATTTTCTTTATCCATGGAATCATACAGCATGTATTCTTATATCTGACTTCTTTTGGTTAATGTGTTTTAACTATGTACTAGTGTGTATTAGCAGTTCTTTTATAAATGTTTATAAACAGACACACACACACACACATATATGCTCATACATATGCAAGAGGGTTTCAAATTTCAGGGAAATATCTCATTCTATTTTAATTTGTCCATGAACTTTTAAAATATTCTTCCTATATGATTGTATTTACTGTTGAGAATACAGACATCTCATAAACCAATTCAGTAACTTTTGAATGCACCATTTGGTAACATTGATTGCATTGTGCCCTGTACACGTTCTCACCCTTCTTTTCTGAGCTGTTGCCCCCCGTTAACATTTATTCTTCCCGCCCCCAGGTTCTTACCTACGGAGCCTTGGTGGCACTGCCCAGGGTCGCTGTGATGGGCTTGTTGGTAGTGGGTTTGGTTTTGGCTAAGTTCCTATCAAATCTTTTTGAGTTATTTTTGTCAATTTTAAAGGAGCTCTTGTGGCAAAGTGGGCTCCTTATTGAAGGCTAATCCAAGATCAGCAGTTCAAAACTGCCAGCTGCTTTGTGGGAGAAAGATAAGGCTTTCTAATCATGTAGAATTCACAGTCTCAAAAAACCCACAGGGCCATTTCTACCTGTCTCAAAGAGATGCTATGAATCAGAATTGACTACTCCATTCAGTGAGTAAGTTTTTTGTGGATTTTGGAGGAGCCCTGGAAGTGCTGTTAGGTAAACCACTCACTGTGAAGTTGATGGTTAAACCCACAACTCTCGTGGGAGAAAAACGAGGCTGTCTGCTTCTGTAACGTTTTATAGCCTTAAACACCCTCTTTAAGGGCACTATGAGCCAGAATTGGTTCGATGGTCGTGGGTTTGTTGTCGGCTTCCCCTTGTCTCGATACAGCTTATACAGGAGCCCTGGCAAAGTCGGCAGTCGGGAACCACCAGCCACGACACAAGAGAAAGACAGGGCTGTCCACTCCTGGAAAGTGACACTCCGAGCCCACAGGGACAGTCCTCCTCTGCCCTTTTAGGCAGAGTTTGGTTTGGTTTAGAAAGCTTATTGAAATGTATAATGTTCAAGACAGACATCTTTTTATTAAGGTTACTTATTGTTTGGCTTAAGAAGACTGAAGGGAATATTTTTGTTTTAAGGTTTAAAGATGACTTCAGTGCAACAATTTCTCGGGGGGTTCATTAATTATCACCTTTATGTATCCAGGAATCTAGATTCCATGATAATTTGCAATTCTGTTCTGTGTTTTCTCTCTCTCTTGATCAGGATTTTTGTCTGAAATCGGACCAATCTTAAGTAATTGTAGCTGGACACCATCAGTTCCTGTCTCATGATACAGGATATTCCACATCCTTCTCTTAGGCCTGACCCTCTTGTTTCTCTGAGACTCCAGGCAATCAGACCATTTGTGGAACCTTGGATGGTGGCTACCTACAGACTTTTAAGACCCCAGGTGTCCTGTGCATTGAACTAGGAAGCCGAAGAGAAGCTTTAAAAGGGAGGTGGTAGGGGGGTGAGGTGTGGGGGACACATGGTGCCAATTGCAGAAGACTGGCAGAGGAGCAGCTTTCTTGAATCTGCTGAATCAATTCCCATTTCTGCTTTTTAGCTTCCAAAATATTTAGGTTCCGTAATGCTACCTTCTTTCACAGTGTTTCCTTACATGGCGTTATTTCTTTTTTATGTTTAACTGTTTTAATGTCATTTTCATGTAGCTTTGGATTGGGTCCGAAGTAAATGTATGTTCAACCTACTATCTTAGCCTCGAAGGCTTTCTGACTGTAGTGTTTACTCGCTGCCATGGTAGCTGGTGTTTCTCCTCTGGTTTCTGCTGTGCTACATGTCATGGGGCAAACATGCTTACAGTTAAGTCTTTGTACATACCTATGCTTACTTAAGACACGTTTCTAGAAGGGGTTACAATATTAAAAGATAAATGTGCATTCATGGCCAAATTGTGCTTCAGAAGAGCTGTACCAATTTTTATTCCACTGGGACAGGACCTCTATATATTTCTTGTAACTCTGTGAGTATGGTCATACTCTATAGACCTTTCTCTGGTGGTCTCTTTTCCTCCTTCATGACACACGCTCACTCACCCATATAGTATATGAAGCTATACCTACACCACATGCTGCACTCACACTTGTTACTCAGCTTGTGATAGGAAGTCTACATGGGAAAGGGGCATGGTCATAACGTGTCAGCTCCTGGTTCCTCCGGCCCAGGCCTGGAGCACTGTCCCCTCCTCTCTGCACACACAGCCCTTTCCCTGAGCCCAGCATAGGTTATGAATGTGTCTTTGAGCTAAAGCCATTGGGCTTTTTAATTTCAGGTTACACTCCTGGCACACCTTACAAAGTGTCCTGTTCACCCACCAGTGGAACGGTGCCACCCTACTCCTCCTCCCCGAATCCTTACCAGACTGCTGTGTACCCTGTGCGAAGTGCCTACCCTCAGCAGAGCCCGTATGCACAGGTAGGTTCGGGTATCGTCTGTGGCCCTTCTTCAGCACTCCCTGTGTGCAGCGAGTGTTCCGTCTGGGCTCTGACCCATGGGAAGTGGGGCCTTCTGTCAGTTGTCTCTCTTCTCCCACAGCAAGGCACGTACTACACACAGCCCCTGTATGCAGCGCCCCCCCACGTCATCCACCACACCACAGTGGTGCAGCCCAATGGTATGCCGGCAACAGTGTACCCTGCGCCGATCCCCGCTCCCAGAGGCAATGGGATGACCATGGGTATGGTGGCTGGGACCACGATGGCCATGTCAGCAGGTGAGTCCTTGTTCTTGGCTGACTGCTTAGGGCCATGGCATGGTGGGAGGGCCCCACTTGCTAATGCGCTCTGACTTTTGCCGCAGGTTTTCCTGCTGCTGTTGGGTGGATGGACATGGAATTCTTTTGTGAAGGAATAGCCAATTCTATTTTTGTTTGTTTTATCGCCTTTCGCTTAGATCTGATTGTGCTCACTCTGTGAGCTGCTGCATCTGTAGACGGTGAGCTCGGTACCTCCACCATGTAAAGCCTGAGCCGAAGGGGACACTGTGCTCCTAGTGGACCTGCTGCCCTCTGGAATGCTCGTATGAGTGGAGGTTGCCGTTGCAGGACAAAAACTGGGGGAAACTGGAGTTATGTTAATGGAAATAACATGCTTGCAAACGGTTTTTGCTCTAAACTCAATTTGATTTTACTTTCCTATACTTACTCCTTAAGGCAAAGGAGACTGGTAGTACAGGGAAACCCTAAGAACCCTGAATGGTGGGTGGCAGGCCTGAGAACTGGTGGTAGAGGCGGGTGGGCAGAGGCAGGCAGGTCGCTGCCTAAGTCAGGGAGCTTGCGTGAAGTAGTCAGTGGCTGTACCATACGTATTTCTCAGCAGCTCACGGGATCCTCTCGTCATTTTTTGCTTTGTGGTTTATCATCTGAACTCCCCCCTACAGCCGTGGTTGTACTCTTATGGAAAAAGAAAGAGGTACAAGAGACTTAAAAACGTTTATCAATGAGTTTGGCCTCGTCATACCACTTTTGGGGCATGTATGATTCTGTAGCCAACATTTTCGTTCTATGTCCTGCTTCAAGGCAGGATGGCATGCTGTTGGTAGTGGAGCTGTCCTTGCCCACAGTGGCTCCGGCTACCTTCTGGTGTGGGTGCTGTTGCAGGCCAGTGAGACGTGCTACTCTTTCTTCTAGGTACCCTGCTGACTGCTCACTCCCCAACTCCTGTTGCCCCCCACCCAGTCACTGTGCCAACTTACCGGGCTCCAGGAACACCCACGTACAGCTACGTGCCCCCTCAGTGGTGATCACCCTGCAGATGTAAGTGGTTGATAGAGATCCAGGTCACCTCTGGACTAAAGTGCATTTTTGTCAGGAAAGACTGCCAAGCATACCACAGTGTTAACACACCAGGGAGAGAAATGCTACCTAATTGATCCAAGGACAAAGCAGCTTTAAAATGTTTGTTCTTACCGAGACTCAAAGAAGAGAAGCCATTATATACACGATCTGTCCACTTAGTTCTTTACCTGACTCCTTCCTGTGGTTCAGATACCCACCTCTCATATGCCCATGCTTGGAGGTATATGTGGCAGCTGGGCCCCTGGCGGAAGGACGGAGTGAAAGCACATGGAACCTTCTTGTGTGGGGACTCTGGGCGGATTCTGCTTTTCATACTCCTGATGGCTCTCAGCCCACTTTCCTTTAAGACTAAAACCTCCTCTTAGGAGCAGTGCCAGAGAACTCGGTTTGACCGCTGTCTTTCTCTCCCTCCAGGTTTGAGGATGGAGCTGTGCAGTCACTTCATTGAGGTTTCACAGCGGTGCTGCAGGCCTTGTGCCTCCAACCAGGACTCTCTTCCTAATGCTCTCAACACTTAGCTAAGCACTACAACCTTCTGGCCAGCAGGTCCCAGCACTGGTAGTCTTCAACTAACTGTGGGTTGGTTTTAAAGCAAATCCTGTTTTGTGGACTGTGTGGCGATTTTTTAGCTAACTATAGTGATAAAAAGGGAGTATTAATCTATTCTGAACCATATCTAGTTGAATGCATGTTTTAAAAAAACACACAAAAACAAAGCTTGCTCAATCTACCTGCAGTGACTGATACAAAACCATCATATGCAAAATCCAAGGGAATGGACAAGTATTTTACAGCTTGTATCACTAATGCACTGTTGTAATGTATTCAAAGTCTTATAAGTGTAAAAGTGAATTTTTCCATAGACTATCTAAAATACCCGAGGTGGCTCTTCACCTTTTGGGTTGATGTGGGTTACCATTTAGGAACATGGGCTTTAGTTTTCAACGGTCTTTTTCTTTCACACTGACAACACTTGGCAGAGGAAATCATGGGATGGGGAGAATTGGAGAGGCTGCAGCTTCCTGGAGTGTGGCATGCCAGGTTTACGGGCCCCCTTCCTTTCCATATAGGCTTGGTGAGGTCTGTATGATATGGGCGTTTTTTAAAGATCATCACCGAGTACTGTTGCCTGGCCAGTACATTTAGGGGCAGAGTGCTGATTTATGTATCAGCAAAGTAACTTTATCTGCTATCTAATTTTTAATTACAACTCTCTTAGAAATAAGAGGTGATGTTTCCCGTACCTGTAGTGGAGCTGTCCGGCATAGAACTAAATTATTGTCCTGCCTGGGGAGATGTGTGCAAAAGGAATGGTCCCTGTTGGTAAGAGGCCTTGACCTCGGAACTTTATTTAGCTTAGAAAATAATTCTATTTTTCTGCCCCTGAGAAATGTTAAGTCAGCTGAAGAACATGTATAGTTGTTCTCATCCCTCTGGCCCCCCAACACACACAAAGAAGGGCAAAGAGTATGTGTTATAAAGAAAGCTGAATATTTAAGAATTACTAAAAGGGAACAAAACTATTTAAAAGTTACAGCCATGGTTAAAACGTAGTGAGTGGCCCCCGAGGCTGGCTGCAGGGGATCTGAGGGCAAAGGGTGGTATCTGGTCTGTGCGTTGCACCCACTATCTCTTGCAACTGAAGGCATTTAGCATGGAACCAGCATGGACTGCAGGAAGAGCCAGCCAGCATCGGAATGCGTTTATGCTGACCATAATCATCAAGAAAGGATTTTGATCTTAAAGTCAGAGTATTGCACATAAGACGTCAAGAGGGTTGTGTGTCTCTCCCCACACACACACACACACACAACACACTTAAATATGCTCATCTTAAAATGATGGTGGTGCGTTTCGGTAGTCACAGATGTAAGCAGCGGGCGGGTGGACATTGTGCTCTCTCAATTGTCCTTTCAACTGCAGGGCTGGGACCCTCTTTACATCCGATGGTTGTTCTGAGTGCCACATTTCGGGGAGGGGTTCTGTTTCCATGCCTCTAGAAGCAAGGCCAGGGGATCCGATGCTGGTTGGGAGGCTCCCCCTTAGATGGTTGGCAGGATATCTGCCCCCTGAGACTTTGGTCCCTCCGTTTTATAGTAAGTAATTATCATGATGCTTTTTAAATGAGAAGCTTAGAAATATTTTTGCCATGATCACCGTAAACAAAATTCTTTATTCCTAATGTCTGTTTACTGATAAATACTTTTAACTTGTTTTATGAGCACTTAACCCACGTGTGTGTGTGCCTGACATTTGCCCCAAGTACACAGCTTGAATCTGTTCATTTAAAAAAATCATTGTCGATAATTCGATGTGTATAGTTCATGGGTTTACAATAAAAGGTTCCAAGGACTCTGGGGGCCAACATGACTGACTGATAGAGGAGTCAGTTTGTCCAGTGTAGGGAATAATACATTAGGAGGGAACCATTACAATTTTGGTGTGTTTTAAAATGAAAGGCCCAAATAACAACAGCAAATTAAAAAAAAACACTTGAATTCAAGGGCAGGTTATAAGAAATTTATAGATTGTCTCCTCGGATTTGCTTGTTAGCACACACAGCACGTGTATTCAGAGCTGAATTAAACGATGCTCTTGCAAGAGAAAGGGGTGGGTTGCGTTTTTCGTTATATCACTCATAAAAATTTATCTTTCCTATAATACTCTTTCTTCTGTCTTCCCTTTGGTGACCCTGAGTTGGAATGTATCCATGAGGAAATCATTTCAGTATTGAAACTATCAGGGGCGGGGTCTCGGTTATCAATAAATAAATGGTGAAGATAGAACTTGTCTGTCAGGTAAGGATTTAGACATGTGATTAGTAACAAAACTAACATCAATTATCTGTCATTTCAGGAGCATTTAGCCCCCATACACTTAAGAAATAAAACTTGGGTCAAATGTCTATTACAAAGTTATGTGATTTGGGGTCCCAAGCATAATAGTGGACCATTCTGAGAATTTTCCTCGTTTTAAATCTAACATTCCTGATTGGGGAGTTTTTCCGCTGAATTGTGTGTGGCTCTTTTGGAAGCTGAGACGAGCGTGCAAAGACCTGCATTGTGCAGACACGGTGGGCTTGGTGGATTTGTTATGAAACGTGTAACCCGAGGCCTGTGAGGCCTTTACATCAGGTGTACAGATGTACCTTTCTATGTTAGTGTAAATCATGTTTGGCTCTGGGCTCGGGTTCTGGGTGTTTAGCAGACCTGCTTGCAGCCTCTTAGCAGGAAGGCCAGGCTCCCTCAGCATGGAGGGCATTGTCAGGCACGCCCGCTGGTTGCTATTCTGTGACACTGTCCACTGAGTGCTATGCAAATATAGTTAAAAGTGATGAGCGAGCCTTCCCCTTGAGCTGAGCACTGGACCGTTTCCTGCCTTCCCCCAGCCGCATCTGACTGAGCATGAGGCCGGGAAGTGATTTGCATGTGTTTCTGGAGGACACTTCAGTAACAAGAGAGAATCTTGAAGATCATTTGGAATGTCCTATGATCGGGTAGTGATGCCCACATTTGGTTTCTCTGAAGGTACTAGGTGGAAGGTGGCATATATTATACCAGCTGTGTAAGTACTAAGGTCTGCTCTAAACAGGAAAGCCAGACTTCTCTGTCTGTCCTTTTTAAACATGTGAAAATAATGCTATTCTGACCATTGAAGCCACCTTCTTGGCAGCTGAAGGCTGGACACCTAGTCATTGCTGGTCCGAGAGTGACCCAGACAGGACCAGACTCCCTGTGTACCTTTCTAGTAGGGGCAAGGACAGGTGCCAGAGAGTAATAGCATCAGCCTCTGGGGCATGAAGTGAAAGCAGCTTTTGGGGGTGGGGGGTGGGGGGTCGCTACAGGGGAATGAAGTGGAGCTTAAGGGAGGGGTAGAGCAAAGTGCTTATTAACGGTCCTCTGCAGCACATTGGAAATTTTGTTGCGTAGGGGTGTTTCTTCCTGACCTGTGTGTTAAGTCGACCTACGCTTTCCAAAGGCACAGTGGATTCTTGACTATGTACTGCATATCATTTGGGGGTGGGGTGGGCGAGAGGTGATCATTTCAGGTAGGAAACGGTGACATTGATTTGGGGAAACACCTAACTTGAGGGCTTCGTCCTTTTCTCCCACCACCACTTGTCCCGAGGAACAGAAAACCTTTGGGGACAATCTTACTTTTGATCTACAGGACTAAGAGGGGAAAACAAAAGCCGTCCTCCTGAGCATCTCTATCAAGAGAACCCAGCCAGAAGGAGCCTTGGGAGGCAGTGTGTGCTTCCTGGGGCCCTGGGGATGATGTCATGTCGCTGTGGCCTCCTGGAGTCCACAGGAGACACGGGGGAGGTGGTGGTGTCTTATGAGCCACTAGCCTCTCAGAGCACCTCCTATGCATCCTTTTACAAACTGCTCAGTAGAATTCGGGGCCTAATTGGAGAGCAGCTGTCCTGCGTTCCTAGCAAGGTTGCCGTGCCAGTCACTCAGAGGATAGGCCCCAATGAGCCTTTTGGGTTGTGTTTGAGTAGGAAATGTGTTTTCTTTTTTTTTTTAATGACTTAAGTACTGTTTCCCAGACCATCCTATTGGTCCTTTTTTAATGCTTCAGTCAGCATTGTCTTCCAGTGTTAAAGGCATCTTTCACTTCTGCATTGAACTTACTGTATCAATACAAAGGAATGGATTCATCCATCCTGAGCCAGTTCAATTATGTGTACATTCTTACTATCTTCGTTTTTTTATGCAATCTGATGAGTAGATGAATTCAGATTTAAATTTCTTAAAAGCACGTTTATTGTAACAAGGATTGTTATGTATTAATACTGCAGTTTTCAATAAAGATTGACTTGTGTTGCATATCCTGGTTTTCATGATTTTCTTGGTAGGTATTTTATAGGTAGCGTGGACTAACTGGGGGCTGGGATAGCTTCTGGTCTTGGGATTTCAGGAAGAAGGCCATTGTGATCTTTAGCGCCTCTCTCTCTCTCTCTCTCTCACTCTCTCACTCTCTCTCTCGACCTTGGCAGTGAGGGAGAGTGTGGCGTGGGTCTCGGGTTGTGGAGGCAAGGAAGCAAAGCAGCACTGCTCTGACAGGTCTCTCTGGATCAAATGGTCCAGCTCCTCCTGGGAAGTCCCATCCTCCTCCCTCATTTCACAGAGGCCAGCAGCCATACCAGGGTAATACTGGCGCTTCACTGGCCCATTCCTTTCCAGGTACATGTGGCCTCTCTGGAACCTGCTCAGTCACCTTAGCCTATCTCTTTGAAGTTAGAGTAACCGAGGTTTACAACCAGCTGGGCACAGACACGCCCACTCCCCCATCCTGAGGAGGATTTATTCTGTTCTTCAGAGAAAGGCATGGGGTAAAGGAAGCAGAAAGGATAAGTCACGTTAATGATTTTCTAATGAACTTAAATGTTTTGACGTAGAGAACGTTTAGTAAAAGAGGGAGTGTGTGCTGCTAAATTCCTCTGTGGCAGCACACTCCTGACTCCGTGACGGGCTCCCTCACCTTCACCTCCCACCTGGGGTTGACAGGTACTGGGTGATTAGCTACAGGATTCAGTCCTTAGCGGGGCTCATACTCTTGGGTGTAAGGCAGTCTCTGTGCCACTGACAGTTCTTTTTCTGTAATGTTAGAAAAAACAACACAGTTAGAAACAGAAAAATAGGAACCAGGTTCTGGAGTCCACCCAGAGCCACTGTTGGACTGACTATAAACCCTAACAGAAGTGCATAGCCGATGATAGCTGTGTTTCCAGCACATCCCAAATGAAAAGCCTGCCCAGCAGCCAGGAGAGGGCTGGGGGAAGTTGGTGAGCTCTCTAGGTACAGAATACTTGCTGCTTGCTCTCAGAGACTAGTTCTTGACCGCTGGCTGGACCTTGGGCCTGCAAGGAAAGTGGAGAAAGAGGAGCTTATGGCTGGGTTTATAGACAGCTGAAGGTCAAAGAAAGCAGGAAAGGGGACTGGGGGCAAGATGATTAGATTTCCAAAGAAGAATAGCTATAGGGCTGTAAGAGGAGGGGAGGTCAGTATGGGGAGTCGGGCCAGAGCCGTGTGTGTGTGTGTGTGTGTGTGTGTGTGTGTGTGTGTGTCTCCCCGGCACCCTCTGCTCTTCGAGGTCTTCAGTTGTTGACCAGGAGTGTGGGAACAGAGAAACCCCCGGCAGTGCAAAGCATCCCCTTACCTTGGCCCTGCCCACTTCCAATATGTAAAATAAAAAGGCGAAGGAGGGTTGGCTGTGGAAGAGCGCAGGAGAGGAGCCGGCAAGCCACAGTGCTTCCCTGGCTTCTCCTGAGGCAGGTGCAAAGTGTGATCTGTGGGGCTACCTGGCAATGGCTCTATCCTGCTGGTGTGCCAGAAGGTGGTTGGCTTCCACTTGGGCTGTGCCAGCACCTAACCACAGAGGACAATGGAAAGTGCTTCTGGCATGTGAGGTGCCTGCGGATGGCCAGAGGGGAGAAGGTAGCATCAGGTCACAAAGGCACAGGGTGGAGTGACATCCTCCACTGTTGGGGAAGAAAGGACCAGAATCATTAAGTCTCCCACAGGGGACAGTTTGGCCACAACTACTCAGGGATTGGGGCTGACCACATCTCGGTCACCAGGGAGTTAGTGGCACAGGCCCTACCCTCCCGTATCTTCAGAGCGGACAGCACGGGTGCTGGGAAGACGCCCGGCTGGGGGGTTCCTTCATAGCAGGGGCCCTGTGTGAGGCATGTTTGAGGGCCTCAGCCCTGTCTAAGGGAATGGGCTGTTGGTCCATTCCCAGGCAGGCAGGTAGATTAGGTGTTGGGGTACTAGTTTATCACTGACTTTGGGGCATAAACTCCTGATCCTGGCTTGGGTCAGGAGGCCAGTGGTTTAGGAGATGAGAGGCGGGGGCGCAGCCTCTAGCCTTCCCAATCAGCATGACTTCCTTCCTCTGCAGCTCAGTGCCGCAGAAGCTTGGGCAGCTACACAGAACCCAGTGGGTCTCCCTACCAAGGATGAGGTGGGGCGCCCTTCCACCTGCCTCTCCACCTCCCTTTCATGTGCCCTGCGTGCCTGCCTGCCCACAGTCTATGGCATGGCCGTTCCAGCAGTTGACCCAGCCCAGGAAAGGGGGTTAGTTACCATGACTGCATCTGGCTATGTACCCTCCGCCTGCCTCGCCACCCTTACTCGCTCTCTCGCCTCTCACTCCCAGGAACCCGCCCCCGGACCTGTGCGCCGCCGCTGCCAGCGCTCAGTAGGGCAAGGCTGTTCCGTTCAGGCTTTAAGAGCCAGCCCAGACAGAGAGGCTCAGAAAGAGCCTTCCCTCACCTCTCACCATATCCCTGAGGCTCCTCCCTCTCCCTTCCACTACGTGTCTAGTCCTTTGCATTACATGGAGGCGCTCTGAGACCCAGG